ACACACACACACACACACACAGCCAACCCCACCACGTTCATGTCAATGTCGACTCCCAGTGAGCCTGTATGACAGGGTGGAACTGTTTCTGGGTTTCTGAGACTCTTAACTCTTTTTCTTTTTTATTGCATGGATATATATATATATATCTTTCTATCACCCCCAAACTATTTCTTCTCACCCTGAATCAGATGGGAAATATGCCATTCTGAAAACAGACCTCAATTGTTCAAATTAAACCCTGAGAGTAAAGGGTCTTTGAGCATAGTCCATTTGTTTTGTGTTTTTTTTAATTATTATTATTAAAATATCATTTTATTGGGAACTCTTACAGCTCTCATAATGATCCATACATCAGTTATAGCAAGCACATTTGCACATAGGTTGCTGTTAACATTTTCTAAATATTTACTTTCTACTTGAGCCCTTGGTATCAGCTCCTCTTTTTGCCCTTGTGACCCCTAGATAAATTACAAATTATTATCATTTTTCTATCTTACACCAACCGCTGACCCCCTTTCCCCGTGATTTCTGTTGTCCATCCCCCTGGGTTGGGAGGTGTGGTTATGCATCGATCCTTGCTATCGGTTCCCCCTTCCTCCCCTCATCTCCCCACCTTCCTCCTGCCCTCCTGTATCGCCACTCCCATTCATGTTCCTGGGAGACTATTAACTCTTTCCAGGAGTAGAAAGCCTCCTCTTTCTCCTAAGGATCAGCTGGTAGTTTTGACACATAACCACTAAGCCACCAGGGCTCCTCAGCTGGTCGAAACTGGGTTTATCTGACTAAAAGCCCTCCCTGACCAGCAGACCACACAGCCTTGCAGATTCAACAGCCAGGGCCTTCCTCCGTGAGACACTGGTGCCCACATGCCAGGGGTGCAACAGCCCCAGGGGCATCATGCCTGCCTCAGTGGGGAGACCTGGGGGTACAGTGCTGGCTCGGGCCCCCGCTATGAGTCAGTAATAATTCCACAAGTCAGGACAGCAGCCACACATCCAGACCTGCCCTTCCTCACAGCGTGGCCGTGGTCCTGTGGCTTCCCCCCTTGGCCTCATCGCCCTGTGTTAATGAGAGGGGACAGGGTGTGCTCTGAGGTCCCTATTCCGCCACCAGCGTGGCAGGAGGGAGGCTGCAAACCAGCCCTGCCAACCGTGCGCTCTGTGTCCTCGGCCCTCTGTCTCCCTGCTGGTGCGATGGGGACAACAGTCCCACTGGCCCAAATCTCTGGTGTGGTCCTTCCCTGTGGACCCCAGGCAGGAAGGCTTCTGCCCTGGCCATCGCCTGGTGGCATCTCCCAGGGATGAGCCTCAGTCCCCAGCTGACCTCTCAGACCGCACGCTCCCTGGCTCAGAGGGCTCACCCGACACAGCGGACCCAGGTTTCCATTCACGCAAGTCTCTCCCCACCAGTTAAAGTGAGCGCTTCTCTGTGGTCTCAGAGAGCCTCTTGGATGTCCTTCACGGGCCCAGGCTCAGGGAGAAGGAAGTTGGGCAAGGCAGGGCCGAGGGCTGACCAGAAAGGGGCGTCTCCTGGGAGCCAGTGGGTGAAGGGAGGCGGCCTGGCCTGGCTCTCCCTTCTTCCCAGGGGCTTGAGTCGACTCACACCCCTCTCCCGCCGGCCCCCCAGGACCAGCTGAAGCAGCTGCAGGAGATCCTGGGTAGCCTGAGCCTCCAGGAGGAGCAGACGCGGGTGTCCCAACACCGCCGGGACCAGCAGCTCCACAGCGAAGCTCAGCAGAGCAGCAGCCTGGTGGCCCAGCTGCGGGCCATGGTGGCTGAGCGAGAGGCCAAGGTGCGGCAGCTGGAGCTGGAGGTCGGGCAGCTCAGCTCGCAGGTGAGGGGGCCCTGGCACCCGCACCCACCCCCAGCCCCGGCGAGCCCGCCCAGTGGCACCCAGGAAACCATCAGCTCCTCTCCTCTCCTTTCCCCAACTTAGCTCAGGCCACACCAGGTCCTGCCACACCCGTCTCTTGCCGGCCCTCTCCTTTCCGAACTCACGTGTGTCCCCGCTCTGCTGAGAACCTGTCACACTGCCCTCCCGCCCCCATCCCTCAAGGGACTGGGCCCCTTCCAGCTGGCTGGCCCCATTCCCCACCTGGCTTCATGATCAAAGAAGCTGGCTAATGGCATCCACATTCGGGAGGGGCAAACTTCTTTCTGTCTGTGTTTTCCGGAGGTGGGGGAGCGAAGAAGGATGCTGTGCAGTGGGGAACAGCTCCCCCACCGTGGTGTTGTGGAACTGCCCGAGTAGAAGCGGTTGGAGTGGGGTGTGGCCCCTTGTGTTTGTCTCCAGCCACATCAAGCCCTCAAAGCCCGTGGGCTCCCTGTGTGGGTAACACCGTGGTGAGGGCCCAGCTTCCTCCTCGGCCTCCCTGGACCATGTGCCCAGCTCTTGCTGCCAGCACCCCTCCTCCAAGGGTGCTCTGTCTCCTCACCCCAGGCCCGAGCACGAACCCCCCTCTCCCCCAGGACCTCTGCCTGGCCAGATGCGCCTCTGCTTTAGGCCCTACTGAGCCCCAAGCTCTTTCAGAGACTTCTGGACCCCCAATTCTGAATTACATACCCCTCGGGCTCTCCCTGGAGGCGCAGCCGGTACATGATGCATGGTTCCTCACAGGGCCGGTGGTTTGAAACCACTGGCCGCTCTGCTGGGGAAAGACGGGCTTTCTACTCCAGGAAAGAGTTGACAGGGTCAGAAGCCCGCAGGGATGATTCTCCCCTGTCCCAGAGGATCGCTCGGGATCCCACTGACTTGAGGGCAGGGAGTTTTTTTGGTTTTTTTGTTTTGTTTTCTGGCAAGCTTGGCCGCTTGCATCATGGTGAGCCCCTGAAGATGTTGTGTCCAGGCAGGTGTTTTGAAGGCACAGCGCAGGGCTGTGTAGAGCTGGGCCCCTTTGGTCCACTGCAATTCTCCCTGTAGTGGTGATGGAAGGCGGTCCATGGTGGTCTCGGGAAAAGGAGGAGCCTCAAAGCCAATGGATGGTCCTCTGAGAAGTTGACTGTTGTGGCAATGACATGTCACAGAGCAACCTTGTTCCTGGGGCCCTGTCCCATTTGTAGGAGCCCAAGAGCCCTTTGTCCCAGCCTCAGCCTCAGCCTGGCTTGTCCTGCAGAGGCCTGGGCAGCCTGGGATTGCAGGGTGGGTAGGGGAGCGCAGGGCCATGGACCAGGGGTCATGGGTACTGACAGGGGCATCACCCTGTCATCCTCGGCCTGCTGTCCCCACAGGCTCACTGCCCCTGTGCTGGGCGCATGAGAGGGGGCCAGCCCTGACCTCAGAGGTCACTAGTCAGCTGAGCAAGCCTCACCCACCAGCCCAGTTAGCCTCCATGGGAGCCATGGGTGGAGGGCTGGTGGCATGGAAGCCCTTAAGGGCTCACACTAGCTTTGCCCCCATTGAGGGGACCTGCCACCTGCAGGGGCAGGCAAGGGGGCTCGGAAGGCTTCTCCAGCCTGGGCCACCCACCAGGCAGCCAGAAGATGCCCAGGAGGGGTACAACTCATGGAGTGGGCCCAGAAATCAGCCTGTGCAGAATCTGGTTTCTGGAGTGGGCAATACCTCAGTTCTTAGCTTCACACGCTGAAAGTATCCACACCAAAGCACGTGGCATGGTTCTTATGAAGGAACGGAGATGTTACAGGTTGTGCAGTCTCAAAAGGGGACATACTGCTTCTGAAAAGTATGCCAAGCCATGTGGAAGCCCCGCTGGGGTTCATAACTGGGCACAGAAAGCCGCATGGAGAAGAGCACCCACACATGTGGAACTGGGGAGTCCCCAGGGTCCAAGAGGCCGAGCGCCCATGGGCCCGAGTAGGCCTGGAGTGGGCCATAAAGGGGCATGCATGCTAGAGACCCCCTTTACATCAGGCCCTGAGCAAGGGCAGAGCAAAAGAGACTGGATGCAGACCAAGAGGGGGTGCCAAGAGGGCAAGTGACCAAGAGGGCAAGAGAGTATGCTGGGGCATGCTCCTGCCTTTGTTCTAGCCCGCCCCTGGCTGGAGAGACATGGTTGAAGGTGTTGGTTGGCCCCATTGGCTGAGTTCGGCCCACCTGTGTTGTACCTTAGGTAGGTATGCCCAAGGTATTGGTTTTACCTGGGCCCATGGGGCTTGTATCTGTGCATGCTCAGTTTGGGGCCTTCATAGGTGTCTAATGGCCACCTGACTTCTTTCTAGCCTCCTCTAAGGGGACCTTTGCAGGCATGAGAGGGACCATCCCTCTGTCCCTAAGCTAGCCACCTAACAGTGCCTCAGTGTGGAGGTAGGGTGGCCCCCGGGAGACAGCCGCCTCTCACCTGCCTCAGCTGGCAGGGCTGTGCCACTCTCTCCCTCTTGGCCCTGGCTCTGACCCACCCTCTGTGGCTCCCCTCTGAAGAGAGGCATTATGGGACGGCATTGTCATGCAGCAGCGAACCCCCCCACCCCAACCCAGCCAAACAAACCTCCCTTCTCTCTCAGGCAAAGAAGGCCCTTTTCATGGTCCTTGAGAGCCAGGATATCAAACCAGCCCTCCCCCAGCCCCCTTCCCCGGGCCTCCAAGCCAAAATGTGGGGGGTCAGACCCACGTCCCTTCCTCCCCACCTCCCGCAGTATCTTCAGAATAAAGGCCTGGGCGAGGCCCCCAGCAGGCCTGAGGTCAACCACACCCCCACCAAGGGCTCAGAGGAGCGGAGCCTGACCAGGTCCCCAGCCTCCGTGGGCGACCACACCACCAGGCTCGGATCTTCTCGGTAAGAAAGGACAGACCGGGATGGGGATGGCAGGTGGGAGCGTGAGAAACGGTTGTTCTGCAGAGACCTGGCTCCTGCCCCAGAGGCAGTTTTCAGGGACCCTGCCCTTTGCAACAGCTGGCACCGACAGCCTGCAGGTTCACGACCTGGAAATGGAGCCTTGCCCAGACCTGCGTCTGACCCTCGCAGGCTCGGCCCTCTCTCATGGTTCTATCTCAGTCCGGGTTCTGCAAAGGAGGCCTGCCAATTTGCAGGGTTGTCCAGCGTGGGGGCCGGTACAGGCTACCTCCCCAGGCTCCAGGGTGCTCCCCTCCCAGCTGAGCAGACCCTGGGGTGAGGTCCAGCCTACCTTCCCGCTGTGACGGCCCCTTCCACCTTCGCGCAGCTCCGTGACCAGCCTGGGCCACACGCTGGTGGAATCTGCTCGCACGCGGCCCTCCCTGCCCAGTCCTCTCGGGGCCTCACCCAGGTATGCAACCGGGGGACCCTCAGACCCTCACGGCCATGCCCACCAGCCCTTCACTGCTCGGCTGACACTGGCATCCCACTGGAAACTGGGGCCAGCCATGGTCCAGGGACTCTCCCCAGGTGGCAGATGGCCTTGCTCTGGCCCAGGGAGAGAGCACAGGCAGGCTTCAGAGCCAGGCTTGTCTGTCCTCCTGCCCGGCAAACCTTCCAGGGCCTGTCTGCAGCACCTCCCCTCCAGAGAGTCAGTCTCCAGGGGGCAAGTGTCATGCCATGCGGGCCCCCACCCCCACACCCCCTCTGGAAGTCACTGATATCCCCTCAGCTCCCCAGCCGGCCTTTCTTTGTTAATAGAATCAAGCCTCGGGGCTTAAATAGGTCCCTTGTTCTTCCTGCCAGCCCCCAGACAAAGGGGGTTTTGTCCTGCTTCTGAGTCCGACCTCCTGCCCTGCCACTGTCCGCTGGCGCCAGGCTCCCGTGGTCAGGTCAGCTCAGGCTCCAGGCAAGGCCTCTGAGGGGCCCCAGCAACGCCTGGGTCCTGCTGTGTGGCTCCGGGCATCTTGGCGTCCTCTCTGATCTGCTCTCTCCCACGGAGCACCTTCCACTCCCCCGCCTGGCTCCCAGCAGCTCAGAGGCCCCGGGGCCGCCAAGCCAGCCCTGTACGTCTCGGGGGCCCTGGGCAGAGGGTGGGCCCACTCTGCACCCCCAGACACTCGGGGAGGGGGCCAGTCCCACCAGCAGTGGGGGCGGGCAGGCCCTGCCTCTGAGCTTCTCTTCACAAGTGGGAAGCGGACCAGTTGGCCCCTCAAGCCCCCTTCCAGTCCCTGTGGCGGTGCCCTCTGCACTCATAGGTGTAGGAGTCAGCAAGCTCCACGGATGGTCCTGGGGGGCTTCCAGTGCCCCCCTCCCCCAGGGACAGGCAGGAGAGATCCCAGCGCAGGGCTGTCGGGGACTGAGGGCACAGAGCCTCTGCTTGGGGAATCTCAGCGGTGACTTGAGAGTCTCAGAGGCTGGGACTCCACAGGCCTGCACTAGAGGCAGGGTCCTCCTTGCTCACAAGCTTCCAGGCTGTGCTACAGCCACGGACCCCCTGGCTGCTGGAAGCAGCAAGTCAAGTCAGCGTCCGAGAATGGATGTGGCCGGGGCCTCCAAGCACGGGAACCAGCCCCCTGTGTTCAGAGAGGGAAAGAGATCCACCCCATGCTTGATCCAGGCTTTTGGACGGCCTCCTCCCTGAGCCCCATGGTTCCTTCTGAGCTCACCTGGGCTCTCACAGGGGAGGTGCGGGGTGAGGCAGAGAACAGCTCCAGGCCCACACTGGGTCCTGGGCAGAGCTCACCTTTACTCCTGGGCCCAGGCTGCAGGGAGGGGCGGGGGGCCAGGCTAGTGGGCGGCAGGGAAGTGGGGGTGGGGCGTGGGTGGGGGGAAAGTGCTGGGCCTGTGCTGGAGAAAACTTGCCAAGTCACAAGGCCAAGGATGTCTAGGCTCCAGGACAACAGGCCGGGCATGGGGCCAGGCCGGAACTACAGGAGGGCCAGAGTGGGCAGGCAGGGAGACCAGACCCCAGAGCCCACACAAGGGCACCTCCAGGCCCCAAAGCCAGTATCATAGCCAACAGACAGAGCCCAGGCCCCCGGGGCTGGTGCTCGAGTTGCCCGTGACGCCCCCCACCACACACACACACACACACACACACACACACACACACACACACACACACAAAGACTGTACTGCCTGGTCTGCCTGTGGAGCCGCTCAGTGGTGCCTTGGGCACTTTGGCCAGACCAGGAAGAGGTCTGGGCAGGAGGGGCTGGGCTGGCACCTTTCTCTCTGGCCGTCTCTGGGGGCCCTTGATGTCTTTTCCAATCCCTCCTCCCACTACCGGAGCCCCTGGCGAGCGTGTCTTCAGGCCACCCTCCAGATGACCGCTGTCCTCTGTCCCCGACTCCTGCCCCAGGCTCTCGGACTCCCCAGAACAGAAAAGCTGGCAGGCCCAGGCGGCTGAGTTCAAGGCCCTCTGGCAAGCTGCGGAGGTGGAGCGTGACCGGCTGGCTGAGTTTGTGACGGTGCTGCAGAAACGGTAACACTGGCCCCGCTGACCCCACGGACAGCGCGCGCTTCCTGGGAGGTGGGGACGGGCACCTTACCTTACCTGACGGCTTGGCCCCCAAAGCCTTGGTCTAGGGCAGTGGTTCTCAACCACTTCCTAATGTTGCGACCCTTGAATACAGTTCCTCATGTTGTGGTGACCCCCCAATCTTAAAATTATTTTCATTGCTACTTTATAACTGTAATTTTGCTACTTTTATGAATCGGGTGACCCTTGTGAAAGGGTCGTTCGACCCCCAAAGGGGTCATGACCCACAGGTGAGAACCGCTGGTCTAGGGTGTTCCCATCCATGACTTGTATGCCCACCTACATGCCTCACAACCTTGGGCCCCGGGTGGGTGCCAGCAACAGCCCTCTCGTGCATGGGCTCAGACGGGGGCTCTCGGGTGAGCCTCTGTCACCCTTTAGTTCAGGGCTGGGATGAGCCTGGCATTCTGCTCGGCGGCGGCAGCAGAGGGATGGTGTAAAGCAAGAGCAGGTGAGGGGGGGGGGAGTCTCCAGGGGGGAGCGCTAAGGCAGTGGGCCCGGAGACACGGACAGATCAGTCAGGACCCCTTGCTCAAGTGACCATCCTGTGGGGGCCATCACATGCCCCAACCACATGACCTCCACACTGGCCAACACAAAGGACAGCGCCGAGTGTCTGCCCTCACAGAGTCAGAGCTCTTGGACAGCCGGCAAGGGAAACCAGGTCTGACTTAATTCAGCGAAGACGCCAGGGTGCAGGACAAGAGAGGTGCCCAGAAGGCCCAAGGCTCTCTGGGGCAGTGTCTTCTGAGCCAGCCGCATAGCACAGGCCCAGGGGCTTCGGATTCTCCTGTCCATGGGCCCTGGGAGGGAAGGAGGGTCAGCCAACCCAGTGTCGCTCGCCCATCCCGAGGAGAAAGCTGGGCACCCTGGCCAGAGCGACCTTTAGACCCTCGCAGGTTGGAAGAGTGTCCCTGTCCTCATTGGAAAATGGGGCCACCGTGACCAGGGAAGGGGCAAAGGCAAACCCCAAATGTGTCCCTTACCTAATGAGTGGTCAGCTTGCTTTTATTCTGTTCTCATGGTGCATCCAGGAGGAATGGAGTTCGGGCCTGTTCAGGAGTGAGAGAAGAGTCCCCTTGAGTTTCTATCGCTGTACCATAAAAGGCCCCAGCCTCCCAGACGGCAGGCAGACACGCTCAGTTCAAGCTCTCTCTCCCCCTGCGCTTGCATTGCCCCAAGTCGGGGGGCAGAGGGGAGTTGGGGTTCGGTCTGTGGACCCATTTGGACCAGTTATCTGTTGAAGTCTAACAAACTCCAGCACACTGGTCGGCCTCAAACACGTTGGTACTCCCGCCCCCAGGGGTCAACGACGGAATTCTCGCTTAGCTTCATGTAATGTCACAGTGGGTCACTCAGGGCGCCGCATGTGGCTGCACCTCTGACTGGTGTACCCCAGTTCTCCTCCATGTGGCTGCACCCCTGGCTGGTGTGCCCCAGTTCTCCTCCATGTGGCCCCTGTCTGCACGCAGGACCTTCTGGCCTTCGATTAGGTTGGGGCAAGCAGGACACCCAGGGCATGCAATTTAAGGAGGCCAGCATGCTGTGAGCCTGCGGGTGGGTGCCTCCTCCTTGCCTGTTTCCAGCGCCCTGCCCCACCCCCTCTCTGCAGCAAGGTAGCCTGCACTTCCTTAACCTTCAGTAGCAAGAAAGGGCTCGCCAAACTGCTGCTGATGGCTCCACTCACTCCCATTAGCCAAAGGTCTATCCCAGAGCCCATGGGGGTGGGGACTACACAAAGGGAGTGCACAGTCTCCACCCTCCACCCACGAGTCCCGCTGGTGCTCCCAGCTCCTTGCACGGGCTCCTCCTCCCACCAGCCTCCAGCTCAGAAACATTTGTTACTTTTCTCCCAAGGGTCACAGCCTCCTGTAGTCCCCTTCTGAAAACTTTGTTTCTTGCGGCTCTGCTTAGTCTTCCATGGCAGAAACCACTCATCTTTCACCAGAAAGCACCGATTTTAACATGTCACCTGGGCTTTCTGTGTTTTAACAACAGAGTAAGCTCCATTGCCACATATTGTCATGTTTTCATTTTTTTTCTTCCCCAATCTGTTTCCTATTTACTGCTGGTTTTCTTTGCTCTTCTTTCTATATTTTGATCGGGTTTTCTTTAATTCCTGGTTTGCTATAACGAGTTTGGAAGTAGTTCATGTGTTGGGCTGCGAGCCAAAAGGTCGGCAGTTCAAAACCACCGGCCACTCCCAGGGAGAAAGATGAAGCTTTCTACTCCCAGAGAGACTCACAGACTCAAAAATACCCACAAGGGCAGTTCTGCCCTGCCCTACTGCAGGGTCACCTTGAGTCAGCCACAGTGGGCTCAAACATAGGACAATTGTAAGGATGGCACAGGACCCTGCAGGGGTGTGTTCTGTTGTACATCGGGTTGCTATGAGTCAGAACCCAATCAACACAACAATGTGCACTGGCATCGACCCAGCGGCAGTGAGCCTTTGGAGTCCGGCAGTTGCACATCCTGTCTCCATTCTTTCCGTGGTTTCTCTTAGCATTTTACATACAACTCTGCTTACCAAGTCCAGAGCCCATGAGTGTTTTCATCACCGCTCAAGCCGTAGAACAAGCTTATGTTTTCATTCCGGTTTTTCCAGCTGGACTTTGATGACTGGTTCCAAATATTTGCATTTCATATTATTTTTTTGATAAATTTATCATTAATTGGGAGTTAATACATATCCTATCACTGCACAGTTCAATCACGTCAAGCAGAATGGTACAATTGCTACCACAATCAGGTTCCAAACATTCTTTTTCTTCCTGGTCATATTCTTTTTTCTTTTAATAAATCATTTTATTGGGGGCTCTTACAGCTCTCATAACAATCCATACATCAACTGTATCAAGTACATTTGTACATATGTTGGCATCATTTTCTTTCTTTTTGAGCCCTTGGTATCAAATAGGGTATCAGCTCCTCTTTTTAACCTCCCTCCCCGGCCCTCCTACCGTGACCCCTTGATAAATTATAAATTATTATTATTTTCATATGTTACACCTTAAAGCCCTGAAACTAAACTCTCCAAATTGAAATTTTTGATTGTTGATTTTTCACTTTTGCCAACATGTTTTAAGACTTTCAGCTTTTCAAAACAAATTTTTTTTAATGTAATTTCATTTTCTTGCTGTTGAGAACATACACAGCAACCCGTGCACCGTTTCACTCGTTCCCACACGCACCATTCCGTGACCTTGACGTCGGATCACTTCTAGGGTTTCATGTCTGAAAAACGCCTTCACGCAGAGTTGCTTCCTGGCTTCCGTTCCTTGGGTCTGAAGTCCATCCTGTATTTCAGCAAAGGCTCAGGAATGCTAAGCCCTGAGCCGCTTTTCCAACTTTAGAAGTCCTTATATACCAAACCCAAACCCACTACCGCCATTACGCGGATCCCGACCCACAGCGTCCCGAGAGAGGGTTTCTGAGACCGTGGATCTTCACGGAAGCAGACAGCCTGGTCTTGCTCCTGGGGAGTGGCCGGTGGGTTCAATCTACCGGAATTGACCAGCGCTTAACCCACCGAGCCACCAGGGCCCCCCATTTATCTTTCGACAAACGGTTATGTTTGCCCCAGCAATTTAAGGCTACTGTTCCTTGTCCTTTCACATCTATGGCTGCTAAGAAAAGTGGGGCCCAGTGTCCAGTCAGCTCCGGTCCAGCGACCCTGTTTCTAACAGAAGGACACACTGCCTGGTCTGACTCCATCCTCAGGGCTGTTAGCACGTGAACCCGCCGTTGCAGCCACTGGGTCCGTCCACCTCGTGGGTAAACCCGCCGCTAAGGCCCAGACCCACGGCCCTTTCTGCAGGAGAAAGACAGGCGGCTGCTTCTGTAAAGATTGGAAACCTGGGGGCAGTTCTGCTCTGCCTGCCGCGTCGCTGTGAGTCAGAACCAGCGTGTTGGCAGCGGGTCCTTGGGCTTGGTGGCTAAGGAGAGCTCCTCATTGGTTTGCCTGCCAGACCTCTGCCAATAATGTTCGTTCTCTCCCGGGAAGCTTGTGCACGTGGTTTCTGCGTCTTGGATGTTTCAACCTTTCACTAGGATGTGTTTCCGTAGAGGTTTTCTTCCCTTTTCCCTGCTCGGGAATTAGTGTGTTTTTCAAGCCCAAGGCGTCCATTATGGGAAATGGTGACCCGTTTTCTCTCCCCCGTGCACTCTGTTCTTTTCACTTAATACTCTAACTAAATAACTCAGTGCCGTTGAGTTATGCCGACTCATGGTGACCCTACAGGACAGCATAGAACTGCCCTGTGGGTTTCTGAGACTGTCACTCTTTTTTAAAAAAAAATAATTTTATTGGGGGCTCGTGCAACTCTTATCACATCCATACATCCATCCATTGTGTCAAGCACATTTGTACATTTGTTGCCATCGTCATTCTCAAAACATTTCCTTTCTACTTGAACCCTTGGTATCAGTTCCTCATTTTATCCCCTCCCTCCCGTCCCACCTCCCTCATGAACCCTTGATAATTTATAAATTATTATTATTTTGTCGTGTCTTACACTGTCCAACGTCTCCCTTTATCCACTTTTCTGTTGTCCATCCCCCAGGGAGGGGGTTATATGTAGATCCTTGTAATTGGTTCCCCCTCTCTACCCCACCCTCCCGGTATCACCACTCTCACCACTGGTCCCAAAGGGGTCATCTATCCTGGATTCTCTGTGTTTTCAGTTCTTGTCTGTACCAGTGTACATCCTCTGGTCTAGATAGATTTGTAAGGTAGAATTGGGATCATGATAGTGGGGGTGGGGGGAGCAGTAAAGAACGAGAGGAAAGTTGAATGTTTCATTGATGCTACAGTGCACCCTGACTGGATCATCTCCTCCCCATGACCCTTCTGTAAGGGAGTGTCCAGTTGTCTACAGATGGGCTTTGGGTCCCTGAGATTGTAACTCTTTACAAGAGTAGAATGCACTACTTTCCCCAGTGGAGCGTCTGGGGGTTTGGAACAGCTGATCACTTTATATTAGCTCTTCCTACTCTTCCTGCTGCAGTGCTTAACCCCTCTTAACATTCCGGGCTGAATTCTGGTTAAGTTCTTGAAATCTGTTTTCTAGCTCCCTAAATCTCTGGTTTGCACTTCACCAGCCGTGAAATGTTGCAATAACAATAATTTTCACTTCTAATATAAGCCTCCTATACTCTTTCTTAGAGAGTGCTCGTGGTGTAGTGGTTGGGCATTGGGCTGCGACCCACATGGTCAGCAGTTCTGAACCAGCAGCAGCTCCGAGGGAAAAAGGCTTGTCTTTCTCCCACTGTCATCAGTTAGTCTCAGAAAACCTTTGGGGGAGGGAGGGTCACTATGTGTCAGCACTGACCCGATGGCAGTAAGTTTACTCTTTTGTTGCTATGTATAAGTCCATTGTTGCAGCCACGGGGTCAGTCCATCTCCTTGAAGGCCTGCCTCTCTTTCCTCGAACCTCCACTTGACCAAGCATGATGTCCTTCTCCAGGGACTGGTCCCTCCTGTGAGATGAGGTTCTATCACCCTCACTTCTAACGTGCATCTGCCAAGACAGGTTTGCTTGTGCTTCTGGCTGTCTGCATCACACGGGACCCTAAGCAGAGCTGTGCGAGCCCCTCGTGGGGAATCATTTCCCATGTGCCTGTGGGTGTTGTGCCGTGTCTGTGGGGCTGCTTTCCCCAGTGGGAGGGAGTCTGGGCGGCCGGGCTGTGAGCATGCCCTCACAGAGCGGTTCTGCTTTTGTTTCTGTGGCCTTGGGGCTTTCCGGGGATTCTGGTCAGTACCTTGTGTTCATCTGTTGTTTTAGGGTTTCCTGAACATGCGATGCCTGCTTTGTGCTTGCATTTCTCGTGAGTGGCTTTTTATGTCAACACACACACACACACACACACACACACACACGCACACACACACAGAGCCCTCATGAACGACGCGCTTTCTCACCACTTCCTTGGCCTTGAGGATGGATAGTGTTCAGGCCTTGAATGAAAGGGAGGCATTCTTTGAGGCTTCCAGAGTTACACAGGAAGCCCAGGTCCAGCTTGCTGCTTTGTGTGAATCCAGGTTTATGTCTTCTGCCCTCCCATGGGCACGAAACCCCCTGCCTTCTGCTAGGAGATTTTGTATTAGTCCTTCTGCCCCCAATGTAATACTTTGACTTTTTAAAATAAAACACTTCCTTTCTCAGCCCCTAATTTCTCACTCTTCAAAGATAAAGAACTGTTCCCCCGTTTCCCCCTCTTTACATCCAGTCAGGCACACCATGTGCACATCCTGCAGAATTCTTTTAAACTACACGTGCACCAAGCACATCTTGTGGGAGTATTAATGTATCACCAATTCTTGGGAAGTGCAATGGGTGAGTCCAAGAACATACACATGTAAAATGTCCGCAATAAGGCGGGCAAGCTGCCCTGCTGAAATGAATCCGCTCGAATTCCTACCAGTACCTCGAACTGTGGGCCACGTCTGCAGATCCTCCCCGGCAGTATCTCGTCATTTCTATGCGCTCTGTTCCAGCCAGCGGGAAGAGGATGAGCTTACTTTTAGCACGTTCATAGCCTGCTCCATGCTTCTTCCTGTTAAACACCTGCTTGTGCCAGTGCAGTTTTGGAGAGAAGGTTGGCGGTTCGAACC